AATTCACCACTCTGGCACGAACAATCGGATATATACAGGAAACCAGGAAGTTAACGTCTCCTGATACGGTTTACTTTCCCACCAAAAACCGGTACCCCTGTCATGATAAGGCTGGCGTGCCCTGAAATCCGTATCTACCAGCGACCGACCCCACACACCTGTCCAACAACACACAGACCGATTATCTGATATCAGTGCGTATCTCTGAGTGGGTTCCTCACACACAAGTGAAACGACACAAACAGGACCGCTGCTTTTGACTGCCTAAAACGTCAAGGCGTGTGTAACAACGTAACACCGTCCTGACAAAGGACAATGCACTTATCTTTGTCCGGGTGTCACGTCATACAATTTCCGATCAACTAAGTAAAAATGGTTAGACCATTTTATTAATTACCTTAATAAGCATTATTCTAAGACACAGCATAACCTAAATTAATGTTCGAAGTTCTAGAAACATCCTGAACATGGGTTAAAATGATGCTCAGAAAACAGGTCATGACGGCGCTGACCGAGCTGAGCTGTTGATTCGCGGTACGGTCCAACACGAGATCCTGTGAGCAGGACGACGAAACTTCGTCCTCCGTAAGGGTAGGCATTTCTCACCAGCTGAATCAACTTCTCGGAAACAAGTGACTTTTCGTCAAATCAGGTAGCAAGCAGGTGACCGTATTCGAACAGATACTAACCCAGTCGGCACTGCATGGTGCAAGCGCACTGCTTATGGCTACTGCACGGCACCGGAGTGTGGCGTGTAGTATAAATACTGCGTGAGCTTTATTCTCTTTCTGGGGGAGGGGGAGGGGCTACTTAGACTTCACTCCGCACATTCGTATCAGGAACACGTACCAGTAAAAAAGGTACTACACGTACACAACTGCAGCGGAATGGTTAGCATCGGGAGGCACTACGTTAAATCTCGACGATGACAATATTTGTGCGGGTTCACTCTGCGGATCCAGGCAAAAATGCGATAGTGCCTTAAAATAAACCACGTCCGCTTCCTTCCACGACCTGCGCAATTCATAAACATCATGCCACTTCGAATTAGACACTCTGCACTTCATACAGCGTCGTCGAGTACGCGCTATTTTCGTCGACTATCCCACTCCTCATCTATTCAATGCAGATACGCGGGAGGATGTGGGGTCAAAGCTGTTGCCCTAACAAGCGGCCTACAACTTCGAGCTGTCAAGATTTGGGCGGCCTTGGTCGCCAGCCAGGCTTCATTAACGCAGTTCTCAGTTCGTTCCCTTAATTCCTTTCCAAGTTACAACAAACTCACGTTTTAGTTACAAAGATCGTTTGTAGAGTGAAGGTAAACTTCTAGGTTCAAGGTGCGGCCGCTTTTACCTCGCAAAGTGAGTCCCAGAACCGTCCTGGACAGAGCAGGGGAAAGCTCCCCACCAGACCAACGAGAGAACCATCCTTAAAACAAAGAGTAATCTACACACACTACCGCCTACAAATCAATCGTATTGCTTTAAATGATAGCACTGCAATGTGTGCTATCATTTACCTGACTATTAACGGTGATATGTTATAAATGACATCTGCACGGCATAAAACCATGGCGCTAAGCTGACAGTCGCTCATGAGACTAACCGCATCACATGGAACTCGGGTTCACAAGAACCCAATCTTGAGGCAGATGAATCAACTCTGCATCGTATTTCTCTCAAATAAATGTTAATGTTATCCATGCTTAATTATTCCAAATGGTCTCTTCAGATTCTCCAACTGAAACTTTGTGTGCATAATTAATATTCCTCATGCAAGCTCCATGTCCAACCCATCTCACTCATCTAGATTAAATCATCTTAATAACATCTGGTTAAGACTACAAATTGCAAAGTTCGTCCTGCAATTTCCTCCGCCCTCCTCTCATTTCATCCCTCTTGGAGGTCCAAATATGCTGTGCAGCATCCCGTTCTAACACACTCTCAGTCAATGTTCTTCCATGTCCATACAGAATTATACTTGAACAGAATTTAATATTTAGATTTCAGTTCTACATGTTTTAAGACTGAGCACTTATTTTTTATAATATCATGGATAAAGGCAGGGAGGGGGCTGTTATGAGGAACCAAGAAAGATATGAAGATGGCTGTCTTCTGGGTTATTGCGACTTGTAGTCTGGTAGAAGCTTACATATGTTTCAGATGTCCTTGCTGCCTCCATCATCACCCTGATAATGGAGACATTAAGCACCTCTGAAACGTCGGTAAGCTTCTACCAGACTGCACGGCGCAATAACCCAGAAGACAGCCATCTTCAGACTCACCGCATCGAAAACCTCAAATCCTAAAATAAAGATGGGTTTATTATCACATACAGACTCCTAAAAGAAACTTCTCCTCATTAGAATTACAATGTTGCTTCCTTCATCGTCCTGTCTTTTTATAACTAAATGTTACTATCGCAAGAACATCTTTGTCTGTGTCGTCTCAAGATATTTACGGGATATTTCTAGACCCAACAACAAGCTTGCCAGTTCCTGTTTGGAAGCAAGTGAATGTCGCTGACCAGTGAGGTATGGGAGCGCCACAAAACTGGGGGTGTTGCTACTTCACAAGGAAGACACCACGGGCACACAAGTGACTAATTTAGTCGCTCATCACAGATTGTTTCGTGACATCATTGGCAATTCATCGAAACCATCCATCATGAAATGCAAGTGTTGCAACGTAAGCAATTTCTTAGCAGCATCCGTCTAACAATGCAACAATACTCGCATGGCTTCGACTAAAGGAAAATAAAAAAGACGCAAATGAGCTGCTTATTGACAATCCATGTGCGATACACTAGTGACAGTCAAGGCCGGTCGACCTAAGAAACAGGGACTGCCTGCTCGTGTTGGTAGCCTGACACGAAAAATATTCTTTTTAAATAATCATAATATCCCCTTGAGAGTACATTGGAAATGTGTATTCCTTGCAGTGTGCAAAAATTCCAAAGACGTTCTTGACGCCAAATTCCACGCGCACACTATCAACGTAATGTCCTTAATCGTGCTGAAGCAAATTAATTAATACTAAAGCAGCGATAATGTTAAGAAAAATACGGTGTCAAATGAAAAAATCGCAACAAACAGTGCTTAACTAATGGAGAATCAGTAAAATATTAAGTTAGTTTTTTAATAAATTAGCAATGGGTACGTCGGATAAAACGGAATGTCGGATAAAAAAGGCCGAATAATCGGGATTCCACTCTTCTAACATATTTATCGTCTTGGCTAATGCATACACTTCCATAAACATTTAACAATTGTCGGGTATGCTCAATAACTCAGACGTCAACAGATTAGGCTTCTGACGCCATCATGGCAACATAAAAATTCAATACAATGCAACAGAACAGAAATTCAAGACAACGATAGATTACTGCACGAATAGTTTGTGTGATCATTGATAGATGGAAACTCTTGACAGTTCGCACATCCACTGACAGACGGTAGCGCGTTCGGTTGATGTACGACATGGACAGACAAACTGAGGCGAACACTTGCATGATAAGCGACAGAGTGCATCATTAATAATTCAACATTTCAGTTGTAGATATCACTACGAATAATTTACGACATAGTCTTCAACATAATGTCAACCAAATAACATAAGAATCCGTTCATTCATTTGTGGTTATCAAATACATACGGACGGATATCACAGGTGATGATGTCATCAATAGACGTCATGCGAAAGGGCACAGGATCATGGGTAATAGCGTCATCATCGTCTCACCTCATGACGATCAGTGTCCGTCACCGTGGTAGTACAGATTGCGAGTCTGGACCAACCTCAAATGGCATAATCTCCACACCAAAATTCATTTCATTTCTCGAGTTATTAAATGACATAACCTGTTGTTCGTAAGCCCGCCGTTGGATGGCAGCACAATCATGATAGACAGACAAGAAGCCCACAACGTGCCCTTCCTTCACGCGAAACTTAACGTTACCTCTATCTTTCTTTGTTTAACGATTCTTTTCAGAAGTGAATGTGGAAGATGTCAGTCGTGGCCTAATTTATGGTACTAACCCGGCATGTCTGGAGGGACCGAGAAAACCCCGTCAGGATAGGCGGTCTCTGGGCTGAGATTTTAACCCGAATACGAAGCAGGGGTGATAACCACGACGTTCAGTGTTAATAACGACGATGTTATGCCATGCAATGCTGCAGAAAACAAGAAAAGTCCATTAAAGTAGGTCCAACAATTAGGAATCTAACTTCGGAGCAGAGGTTCTGTTGAAATAAATATTGAGGTGACGATGTACTATGCTTGTTTTGGCACACATATTGCTAATAAGATACAGACGTACTTCAAGACATGGCCCATTCATCCGGACACGGTAAAGTTTCGTATGTATTTGTCTTATAAAAATTTGCATAAGTAACATACGATAACGCAGACGAAATTTGAAGTGGTCAAAACTAGCGATAATTTACCAACCATGGGCATGTAGTCACGATTTAGACAGCTATGAAATAAAGCAAACTGGCTATTTTACCTCTTGCGCTCTCTGCTTACATGGTCAATATTAGATGTTTTCTGCTGTTATGTCATTCAGCGCTTCATCACATGCCATGCACGCCTCATATGCAGTACGTGACAGGCTTCTGAAATTATATTGCAGCCCGCTCCAACCATATAGTTACATTAAAACAGAAGCCACCGGAAGTTCCACATCAGTGAACAGAAACCCATGCAAATAGAATACCTTAAATTTACAAACGAGATGACAAATTTCTTACTCGGCATTTCACACAACCAGCACGAATTACAAATCCCGCCATTATGACAGTTGGGAAAACGCTGAATAAACCCCACGCAATGTTCAATGGCTGTGCTGCGTATTGTGTGACCACGTGCTCAGGATGCAGCGTTTCTTACCTAATACGTTGCTGAAATTGCAAACTCAATACAACGTACGCGTAAATACGTTACACAAACTATAATAAACATGCAATTACAGTGTTAACTATTAACAGCAGAATACTTACGACGCTTGAACTTCATCATGAGCCGACGCTGCAACTTCAAGGAGTAAAAGGAAAGATCACCGTCGTCAGGATCTCAGGCAACTTAAGAGTCTGTTTGATTTTACTTGTATTGATTCAATTTCAACAGAAACACAAGTCCCAAAAGTCACACACATCCAGACACTGTAAGTCAGTCGCACACTAGTTCAGCCTTATGGCTAGTAAAAACACGAGGTTTGCAAACAAATTTTCAAATTCAATTACTATAATAATTAAAGTCAATTTTCATATGTTCACCTCTTGTCCTTTGTGTTTTCAAATTCACTGCACACTATAAAATAGGTACTATCAGCTTAAATAATGCATATGACAAGAGCTATTTTTGCATAAAATTCTTGCTGACAGCTCAACAAGACTACACAACGCGGTAGCAGCAGCTCTGACAGTCATAACAGGTTAGGCAACTTTACAATCTTTGCGACAGTTGTAACCGGATATTGAGTTCTTTGCTGCATAGTAAATATCTGCAATCTACAGGGAAGGAGACGTACTAGATTTTAACTTCTGTGAAATTCCCAGTACAAAGTAGGGGAGTAGCAAAAAGTGAAATTAATCTTATCACAAAAGTGCGCAGTAAATAAAACATACAAAATATAAGCAAAGTAATAATAATGTTTGAGATTAAATAGCCTCTGTGTCCATGTGACGATATTTATTTATCCTTCATTGTATGATGACGCACTTCCGATGTATCGCTCCGGTCGTTCGAACCTAAGAGTATTGCTTAGCACGTACAAATTAAAAGTGCTGCTTCTAAAGTAAAACATAATATTAATAATTTGAAGGAAATGAAAGAAAGTTTCATAATACTGCCATTCGAATTGTGATAAGGCATGTCCTATCCGAATTTCTACAAGAAAGCTCTTCTTTATGTTGAATATCAGTCATATAATTTAGGTTATGTTATCTTCGAGGTTATAAATGTTGTGAAGAGTTGGATTATGTCGTAGTTTATGACGCCATGAAGTGATGTTGGTAACAAGCTCTTTGGGAGGAACACATCACATCTGTCATCGCTGTTCGTGAAGTTAGAGGTGATACATTCATGTTAAATGTTGCCAACCACCTACAAGGCTAGTAATACATGACATCAAAAGCCAGTTTTTGATCATGAGTTTCCAATAATGAAGAAATATTCACTATTTTCCTCCGGTTTAGCGTTGTTATGAGAACTGTTCTCTTAAGTTATTACAAGTCATAAATATAGAAGAAAATGTAACTATGCCCTGCCCTTTCAAAGTCTCTACCTTTACACTGATGCTCTTTAAACCCAGTCAGCAGTATGTATAAAACTGCAGTACACTCAATGTAAGTCTGAATTATGAGACTTAATTAGGTTAATTTTAATGTCCTCTGTGCTTTATTCCTGGGATAAATCATCCCTGGTGATGGACTTCTTTGTAACTACTAGTGTTCAAACTCTCATTAACAGGAAGACAGCTGGCAATGCAAGTTTCTTTGTTAAAAATAACTTTTTGGATTCTGTCAAAATCTCAAATATGAAAATAATAAGACAGTAAGCAGCATATGTACCTTTAGAAATCTGAGGCAAGAAGTTGCATCAGACTGCTTCTCGCAGGCAACATAGTCTCTCCAACTTGCTCAATGTAACATCTGTTGAGTAGTATTTGAAGTTCTCACAGCTGTGAGTTCAGAGATGGCTGTCTTCTGGGTTGTAATACTGTGTAGTCTGGTAGAAGTTTACCAGTGTTTCCGAAGTCCTTGCTGCCTGCATCATAGCCCTGATGATGGAAGCAGCAAGGACCTCTAAAGCAGTGATAAACTTCTACCAGACTACATGGCACTACAACCCAGAAGAAAACCATCTTCATAACATTTGTTGCTGGTGAAACCCTAGAGACAAATTGTTTCATCACAAAATTTCACCCAATTTGAGAGTTTCGAACTGAGCTAGTTCCCCAACATCACTTCTGGATGATGAATTGTGCAAAAATTTCAGGATTGAGAACATAGTCTGGTAGTCCAGGACACATTAACAAAATGTAGCATCATTCCTTGGTGCCCAGTAAGAATTAGGTTTGACTTAAGCCCTTCTTACCAAGCACCAAATAATTGTTTACATCCTAGATTCTATCTAACACTGACTGCATTGTAAGAAGAATCAGTGTATAAAAGTCGAACCTCCTAATACTACCTAAATTAATATTGAGAGATTCCATATAGTGCTTATATTTCATCTCCGTGCAATACAGGCATACTTTTGTTTCACATGGATCCATAACATAGTTATTTAGATATACTGATAACATAACCTGTATCCCGTAGCTTACAATTCACAAATGACTCCTAGCTCGAACTAGGTTTGTCAAAAATTACAAAAAGTGCATTGGGGAAACATCTTTAGTAGACAGTATGTCTGGTTTGATAAAAGAGATCCTAGAACAAAAATAAATCTCTAATTTGACTGAAACATTTTTTATCACCTCAGCCATCATAGAAAATTTGTATTAAAATGATATCATCCTTCACTTTAATACTCCATATATGATGCTGTTCTGTCAAATGAGTAAGGCAAAGGATAGATCAATGTCATCATTCCTATATTTATTCTTATCTAAAAACAAAGCTGTTCTCATTTCAGTATTAAGACGACTACTGCCAGAAAATGCGTCTAGTAAGCATCAAGTGTGGGGGTCTTTGCATAGTGCTCTTCCTTGCTCCTCTCTCCTGCCCTGAACTGACGTTCACGTTCTGCCATCATTGCTTTCACTCGCAGTTTCTGTAACATGTTTAACAATGCCCACACATTACGAAGAAAGCCATATGTCCTGACTCTAAAAATGATTAACTTCATCTCAATGATTTAAAATTCATATAAAATGCAAAAATGTCTTGCTCTGGAAAGTGCTGACTATACTATGCTCATTCACATATAGGATGAGATAGTCACTGAACTGCTAAACTAATTTCAAAACAACTGAAAGCAAAAGATTCATATGGTGGACAAAAACTAATAAATTTAGGCTAAAATACAGAATGGTCTACTGATCACATCATATCACAGTCCATGGTTATTTTCTACAGTACTCTTTACTGGTTACTAACTATATGGCTTACTGAACCTGAAGGTTCATCACCAAATTAACCAAAGCCCTCCACTGGGCCCTGTCCTGGGCCTTTCCTGGTTACATATGATTTTATTAGAATGGGTTAACTTCTCTTCACACATTATGAACCTTAACTGAATCATTATACAGATAGTTAACCTGCTTTTTGTGTGAAAAACACTCTTGCAAGTCATCATGAAGGTCCTTGCACTTTGTCCGACCACGGTCCATGCCATAGGCTTCTAAGCAATTCATCATCCTCATTTCCATTTCCTCACACTTTCCATAGAACTGGTGATTTATAAGGCTGCCTGTCAAATCCGTAAATGGGCTCCGAAAGAAAGGTACAACATTTGCCATTGTTTTCTAATTCCAGACTCAAACGCAGCTGTAAAATAAAACGAAACTACTACTTAAGCAACAACAGTATAAGCGTGGTGCATGGAATATTATGAATATCGTAGTAAAAACTCTCATAACGACATGCAAGAAATTGTAATGTCGTAATTGTTGTATTCCAATGCAACGTCCAGATAAAAGTGTCACACCACGATCGGCTATTTCTTACATTATGTGGGCAGAATACTGGAACAATATATAATACTTACAACAATATTTTAAATTTCAGACCTTCCGTTAGTAATTCGCGTATATATCTGATAGCTGATTTAGTACCTAACTTGTGTCCTCAAATATCAAATGATATGAAGCACTGGTACAAAAGAACGCCAGGAATAAAATAGATCTAGCAACACAGTATCACAGATTATAAAATACGAATGGTAGAACTAAATGATATACGGAACGTTGGCAGCACCAAACACCGCCAGCTCTGCCAACATAGGGCCAAGAATAGCACCGCATATTAAACAATTGCTTATTACTATTACGTAGCCTAATCCCACTTAATGAAACAAGGACTTACCCTTCTTGTTAGCAAATATGCTGTTAATTACTATTATGTTGCATTACCTCCTCGAAAACAGAAGATTAACCTAACTCGTTACAGAAGTTAGAGGTTGGCAGCCGCAGTTATCGCTGCAGGCTTTACACGCTGCCAACATAACTTCTTACACAAAATGAATCTAATTATTTTTCCTTGTTTTCTGATGTGATACATATTTATGAAGAATATCGTTGTTGTCACTGCAAGTATTATTACAGTAACGCATTTTTATATACTTTCTGATGAAGAACCAGACCATATATATCTCTAGCACGTCTTCACTGAATCCGACAACAACACGGACTATCTCGTCCTAGGCAATAATTTTTAAGCGGCACACATCTATGTGTTTCTGTAGTTCACTGAAACTGAGGAACGCGGTGACATATGTGGATACGTTGAAAAATCTTTTTTTTAATATTAAATTTGTTTGTGAACAGAACATCAAGAAAAGTACAGCTGTTGTTGTTGACCTTGGAATTAATAAAGCATTGAAAATGTCAACAACAGGATTAATACATTGCCAGTTATGGATGGGAGGCGTAAGTACTTTGGAAGAATCGGCTATCTCATTCGTACATGTAGCATTATTGTTAATAAATTCGTAGACAGAAAACTTTCAACATTTTGTTGATTTCCGTTGAATATATTGTTTTTAATGAAATTTAAGTATGGGTTATATACAGTTTCTGAATATTGAAATTGTTAACGTATAAACAATAGACCATATCAACCAAAACAAAGGAAATATATAGGGAGTTGGATTATTAAATTGTTTCGTCAATTTACAGGTTAGGAGGCAGATCCCAAACTCCGTATTTGCTCCTCTGACGAGTCGCAAGATGCCATTTGCCTTAGATTAGCAGTGGTGCTAATATTAACGAAATCTACCAAATGCATATTAATAATTTTCGTTCTTGTAAGTCGTACTAGTAGAATTTCAACAAATTCTGAACTATGCAATATGTATTTCAATGTATATTTGTAGAAACCCATGTTCATTTCACTTCTACATCATTATACCATTTACAGTGTTATGACAACCAGCTCCCACAAGTAGGGAATTCTGGAGTACATGATCAAGACAATTACTGCTATAGAATCTAAAACTTTATCATTTATCACAAAACTAGTGGACTCCTGTCTGCCTCATCGCAGCTAATTTCCCTAAGATTGTACTTTTCTAACCTATTTTACATATTCATTTAACCATGCAGTATATCTTAGATGAATAAAAATTATTCTATTATGAAACTTTCTCCAATCTGGTGTTATTTGATCTTGGGTCACTATATGCTCAGCACAGTGTTTCCAAATACCTTCAGTGATTGTTCTTCCCAAAAAGGAATAGGGTGTTTTCATCTCATACAAAACAATAGGTAAATTAGGTTTTATATTGCTCTTGTTTCGCGAGGCTTGGGCTTTAGAATATATTCTGCAAAATATGGTTTTGTCTGTTGGAGATTGCAGGTAATTGACATATCTTGTATGTAGAAGTGTTAGACATGTTGGCGATTGCTAACTTCTTTTTGCAGCTGGAGCCCTATATGACAGAAAGTTTTGTAATGTCTGCTTTCCAAAGAATGGGGGAGCAGCCCCAGAATGTTAAGGTTATGAGAAATAAGTACACTGGAGAGCCGGCAGGATATTGTTTCGTGCATTTCGCAACAGATGATGCAGCTCTGAATGCAATGCACAAACTCAGTGGGAAAGTTATTCCAAATACCCAGCCTGTACGTATACGGTAACTTATAAGTATTAGCGCACCAGTGTGAGGGCCCTTCAAGGTAACAGAGTGTGGGGTGATGCCTGTGGGCCCTTGTTCTGGTGCACAAGTCGTCTTTCCTTTCTGAGCCTTTCTATTTGTACTTTTATAGAGTTGTGCAACCGAGCATGCGTTCGCAACTATTGAAGTTTCCGTTACAGTGGATACAGTAGGATAGGCATATGTCTTCTGTGTTCCAAGTCTACTTTTAAATAACCAGCGCTTTAGGAAGATATTGCTGAGACCGATCTGCCTCCACAGTTTGTGCATGTGTTATTCAGCAACACTTGATAGGCTGGCAGTACTACTAACTGATACAAAGACAAATTTGAAACTTCAGGACTGCTTAAATCATAAGGCACTCTGATGTGCAAATGTTTCCATCTCAGTTTTTCATAGTTCAAAGTGAGTGAGCTGCCCAGTCCTTTGTAAATATCTGTTTAGTGTTGCAATGCAGATTAGATTAATAATTAGTTTTAACCATTGTTGTACATTTTAGGGTCCAAAGGATTGAAATGTAGATTAGATCACTTCTTCCCATGTTCTTTACTTCTGTTTGTGGAGTTGCAGTTGTTTAGGCTACAAGCGTGACAGACATATCAGAAAAGTTGCTGCTACTGTTTGTTTCAGGGGACAGACTGATAACTGGGTTTTAGTACAAAGGTCCTAAAGGACCCACATTCTGTGTAATGGTTCTTTTAATTAGGGATTTGTGTCTTCAGGCAAATACCACCAGCCAGAGTGACCAGAAGGGTTTTTATCCAGTTTGGTCAAATGAATTCACCCCATTTGATGGTAATAGGCCATGTACTTCCTTGTTGACTTCACTCCAACAGTGAGAGATACAATAAACACTGATTTATTAAGATACTACCATGGTTATGCACCTTCCTGCAGACCTCATAAAATTGATCATGTTTCAGCCAATTCGGTTCAAGTTGAACCATGCAAGTACAACAGGTCGCCCACCAATAGACCGGGAGTTCTCTCTGTGGGTTGGAGACCTGACACCTGATGTTGATGACTATACACTATACAGGACTTTCGCTACTCGCTATCAATCCATTAGAACAGCGAAAGGTGAGCCACTTCAGACAACACAATTACTAATTCATCCAACCCAAGAAATCATCTGTAAATTAATAAAAGTGCTTTTGATTGCAGTGATTCTGGACAATGCTGGCTACAGTAAAGGCTATGGATTCATCAGGTTTGCCAATGAAGAGGAACAGAAAAACTGTCTTGTGCAGATGAATGGCTACAAAGGCCTGGGAAGCAAGGCCATAAAAATCAGCAATGCTGTGCCCAAGCCTCATCGCCTCCAGCCAACAACGTAATGGCATTTATTTCCATCTGAGTTCTCACACTTTGTGTAAACCAAGAGGACAGTTAAATATTAGCAGGATAGAAGGGGTGGACCTACAAGTTCAAATCAAACTGGTCTTTTCAATTTACTTTTGTGATTTCAGTGCAGGGATAGTTAACATATTTCCTCAGTTCCATTGTTATTAGCAAGGACATAACTTTTGTGCAGTATTAGGTGCTGTACACTGAGCAGTTACTATATTGACAGTATCTGGGAACATTATTGTGCAAAAATGTCAGACTAGCTTGACTGCATGATTCAGTCTTACTTAAGTAGCTTAAAGTAATTCAGCTGGGGCAAGAAATCCCACATTTTTACTGAATCCAGTGTATCATCACCATATTTATGAAAGCATGCCCCTGGATCATATCCTGAGACATTTAAATCCATTTGACACCACCACCACCACCACCACCACCACATTTTAATGTTTCATTACTCCATGCTAGTCATTCAGCCTGCAACAGATGCATGAGAAGCAAGATGGCATCGGATATTGAAAGCACAAACAGAAATGATAATTAAGCTGATGACCCTCTAGAGAATTAGTGCTGAATGCTAAAAGAGTTGCATGCTCTGTATACTTCCAGGACTAGCAGTGCAACAACAACAATAAACACAAGTGGATATACCTCAAGCCAGGACTACACCCAGTATTATGATCCTTCATACTGGCAGAATTACTCTGCTTGGCAAGGTTACTATGATGCAAGCACAGATCCAACAGTTGCAGCATCTGTTCACATGACACAGGCAGCGGCAACAGACTACACACAGGGTTCTCACGTGATTCAGCAGGCTGTAGATGAGACTGTAAGCGCTGAAGATGATCTGGAGCTAGTTGGTATGTTTACAACAAAATCTGGGCTACTGATCTTATTTGCATGGCTAATGTGCACAGAAAGCAAATATGGTAACATTATATAAGTAGCAAAAATACAATGAAATACTACTGAATTAAACTTCACTAGACCTTGAAAACTTTTAAATAGTTACATGTAAATATTAAATATGTATGAAGAAGATACACTGTTGGGCATTACACATGGGTACTGTACCTATTATTTTTCTTCTGCCCTATGTATAGAACACAACATTCCGCTGGATGTCGAGAAGATGAATCGGGAGCTGATTGACAGAGACTACAACTTTTGGGATGCTCTTGAAAGTTCAAAATGGCTGCCTGTTGAAGGACTGGAATGTAACTGAATAATGCCGCATTAATCCTACAATACAGTATTTATTATACAATAAAGAAAAATACATTTGCAAATTGTATTAATGATTGCTGTATAAAGTTATATAAGATTTGCTCATATACTTCTTTGAGTTAACTTTCTTATATGTGTGAACCATATTATTTTGTGCATATCAAATTCTGCACAGAGATGTCTGGAACAGAACTGCCAGTCTATCATCAGCTAAATTATGAAGTGGATATCTTCAGGATGAGGAAACAAATGATACATACAGAAATATATATACACACATAAGTACAGGAATACAAGCAACAAAGACATAAATAGCATCTGCTGAATTAGGAGTTAACTCAGCTTTCCCTGATAAATTATTACTTTTGTATAAAAATGATCCCAAAATTCATCTGTACCACTCGCAGTCCTACTTCATGACACTGTACACATAGCCTAACTCTTTTAGGAACTAATGTCCACTGTGACCACATCCAAGAACTTGCAGATCAAAAGATCAATAACTGATATTTATATTCACCTTTTGAGTTCCATATTTTAATGAATGACACCCCACCAGGTTCAAATTTTATGTTAGAATTCCAAAACTGTTGTGCCAAGTCCTGCACTGGACTGGAATGTATTTTCCAAATGTTGAAATCAGATCTTTTAAGTCTATAATAAACCATCGTGACCAATGTCAGTCTATTTCATCCAGTTATAAGATTACTGGGACTGTCCAGTCCAACTGACATTGGCCCAGTATGTGTTTTCTGCAAGTGTCAAGACAAGCCAGACAGAGGAATTGAAAGGGTTACAATCAGTATACTGTTGTGGCTATAGTTTCTTAAATGTTATAAAAATATAGGCCTTAATACTTCCACACTTTTATGCAGAAAAAAGTGTCATCAATATTCTAAAACACTTCCATTCCTAGCCCAGACAATATTGAAATGATTAATGCTGATAATCACCCCAGTCAGCATCTCTCCTTCATTCTTAAAATCACAGCATGTAAGTGTCTTACTGTTGGGGAACTTTATCACATGTTGATCTCCAGAAATGCACAAACTCAATGTGGCCTCTTCCTACACGTACGTTATCACAGAGGGCTTTTAACATCATACAGTATCAGAATGTGAACTATCATATAGTGTCTGTTCTTGCCAAGGAATCTTCTCTGTCCATAGGGGGAGGAGCATCAGGCAGTGTCTTGGTGTTCCCTTGTGTCAGGTACCCTGCTGTAGCTGGAGTTCCAGCTTCAAACAAGAGAAAAACAAATTATTCTTTATGTAGTAATATATTCAAGTCCACAGTCATAAATTTGGACCATTAGAGTACATGATACATTTTGACCTTAGTCAGCTTCACTGCTCAACCATGAATCCTACTAGCCAATTCTGGATGTACCAGCAAAAAGAAACTATCTTATGAAAAATAATTTTTGAGTAACTTCCTATTTTTATACGGATACATCGAACCACATGTACTTCTCACCTAATATTAAATTAAGGACGTTGTTTATGGGAATAAGTGTGAAATGCTAAAAATTTCATTAAGACAGTCCATTGCAAGAGATCTAGCTGTAGATCAAAGGATATGTTAAAATGGATCTTTGGGTATGAATGTATGGGATGGACTCTTAACAGATACAGATATGATGGACTTTTGTGAACACCCTGATAAACAGTCAGGTTATGTAAAAACACCAACTGGGCAACAATCAACAGCTCAAATATTTGGATAACCTGGAGTCCAGACACTTGGTCATGAAAGAAGTAGCAATACATCAACTGTTACCTGTGAGATATCCTGCAGTTGGTGCACTGCTGATGAAGAGGTCATGTCGCTGATCCTTGTACTCAGACCACACAGGTGATTTATCCAATATGGCTGCTACACTACTGCCATGCAGCAAGCTTCGGCTCATGGCTTTTAGTGCCTTAACAATCTGTGCTTTAGTCATGGCAGGGTTTTCCAGGGCTTCCAGGCGTCCTTCCAAAAGGCCTAACAAGTACTGCACCATGTCTGCCTCAAGGGCCTGAATATACATGAGGAACATATATTTTAACTCGTCAGGATGTAAAGGGATTAATTTGGCAAGATCT